ACAGCTAATGAACTGGAATAAGGATGTTCGTCGCCGCTTACTGCGACAGAAGTAATTGTTTTTGATTTCACTATGAATACGGCTATGACTTACTAAAAGGAATTAATTGTGATATGAAAACAACGCATTTACATAGGTACATGTATTTTCCAAAGCCTACAAATACTCCCAAGATGTGTGGGAATTTGTTTATATTTAAAAACTTTTACAAATATAAGATCAGTTATCTATGACAATAATTTAATAAACAGATGTTCACAATAATGATACTTAAATTATCCTCAGCACTACAACAAGATGAATAACTAGGTGACCAAATCATTTTGCTGTCTTTCATTACATAAATCTTGTTTGTCGAGATTATATCATCTAATCAAAGACAGATTAGGAGTAACACTTTACCGTTGAAATGAATGGACTTGGAGTGCTTGTGAAGAAACGTATGATGATCAAATTTCAAGACTACTACCAATGATCCATAGATATTACACGTTACTATTAAAATCTATATTCTACAGAAATGTTTTAAAAATTTGTCAAGTATCTTTATCTATTTTAGGTTAAAGTAGGTAAAATTACCACTCTAAAACCAATCTCTTTACATGATACACACACCAAAAATACCACCGAATTAACGGTCGAAACCTAACTCATCTTTCTCATTACTAAAGTGGTAAAGATTGATTTGGATATCTTGAGATGAAATGAAGGGTAGTTTATGCTCAACAAGTGAAAAATTGGAAAACAGTCAGACAATCATACGTTAGTAGGATAGTCACTCGACTCCTTTGGGGTGCAGTATACTGTAAACTATATGGGAACCTTTTGCGGTGCAGACTCCTATATTGTACTTGATTTATTGTGAATATATTAGAAAGAACAATAAGCAACAAACATTATTACATAAAAAAATCAAAAGGGGATTAAGATTTTTTCAAATTATACTTACGTTCGGTGTGCACACAGGATTTGTATAGTTTGATTGTGATGGGTCACTGTTAAATAAGTTACCGGATACTGGGGCGGTATCTCCTACAACGCGACTACCACGAGACCTAGAAACTGCTGGCGGCGGAGGAGGGGGCAGTAGACCACTCGATAATCCAGAAGCAAGGGGGCGTGTAACTTTTGATTTGGGATTTGGATCATCCCCTGTACGACGGGTATTCAGATTTAATTTTATTTTTTCCCCTTCTTTGAAACTCATATCCTTAGCTGGTTGGTTGCCCGCGTTTTCTTCCATTTCTTTAGCTTCTTTTTCCTGTTTTAACCATCTACGCAAAACGAAAAACATAGTTTAATTACAGTTGAATCCTTTAACATAATGAAATTCATATTGAAGAAAAATAAGTAGGAATTTGATAAGCTTTATATTATTTATCCTAAAACAAGACTAAATGCAATTCAGTAAGCACGTGCAAGCTTCGAGCTAGGTGTTTTGTATGAGGAATACTTACAGCGAAGAATATGAAGAGGCATTGATCGATACAACTATCTACATTTGAACTCAAATTGTATTATCTCTACAGATAACATACTAAAATGTAATAACCTAGAAAACAATTTTTAATCAATAAGTAACCCTGTCAGTCAAAGGAAAAAAGTGTAAATATGGTTTCGTATAACAAGACATCGTTTTAGGCCACTACAATTAATATGACAGGGTAAATTCAGAGTGACATGAGACAAAGAAGGACAACCGTGGCATTTAGTGGCTAGAGATGTAGCAATAAGGTAGTGAAAGTAGCTATTTTCTCCACCAGTGAACTCGACTTTAAGTTACTAATCATTGCTGGTTTCCACTCTCACGCTGATCTGGCCCATTAAGTCTAAATCTTTTGACAAAACTAACAAACAATGAACTAATTTGGTTTAGTTTTCATCAAGAAAGAGACATTATATCGATGGGGCCTTTGTATCAAATGACGCGGCAAAAAATGTCACTTATTATGATTAGAAACTAAAAATTTACAAAAGTCCGGCTAACAATATATTTGATAATAAAAAGAATGATAAATATGGCATCAACTCATTACTGAAAAAAATTCATACACAGAGAAAAGCAATTCAATTTGAGAGAAGTAATATTATTAACTGAAGCGGTCACCTGACTGTGTTAATAAATCATTAAGAGGTAATATCAGTTACAGCCAAGTACATAGCAAACCAATGAACAAAATTGTTTTGAACTAAAGATGTAACCTATTGTTAGCGGGACATAGACTGGGTTAAAGCATGCTCAATGCATGATTGTTTTGGTGCACGCTGATTGGCTAATTCTTATCCAATCAGCACTAGTCGATAGTTGGAGAATACTCTAGAATCTTCTCATGTAAAAACTATAAATATACAGACGTTTTCTCCATTGTGCTTCTGACTTGTTATTTGGAATATAATCTCTTCCTGTTCAACCGTGTTTTGATTTGGGGACTTGTCGAGTGTATCGGTGTCCGAGAATACTAAGCAATAGGAATAGCTGGGTCATTAACCGTAAGAAGGAAGAGATTATAACACCTATATTATACTCTTTAACAAAGACGATAGAGAGAATGAAATCCGCAGTGTATCTAGTAAATATCGTATATGATTTTAAAGAAATCATATTCTAAAACGATAAGATAGAACTAAATCATCTTAGGTGACTTGGTCAAAGTTAGTTACGGTTTAAGGAAACTTATTGCTATAAACTGAATGGAGTACTAACAGATAAATCAGTAGAAAGATCAACCTATTACTAACATGTAACTGCTTTGCAAGATAGAATGAAGTAACCATTCAGTATAACTATTTTGAATTGTTTCTAAATTATATTTCATTAAAATCGCTGATTACTGCTCGTGGTATGTATGGTTGTGAAATAACTTCCTTCTGCTACTACTTATTCAACAGAACAAGATTAAAATGATGTTTCATCATTATTTTGGATGCCGTAGTTGGTAAACAAGTAAATTCTTATTTAACAGTCTTGCTTCCTTCATCGCATCCACCCATTTCAAATGTCTGGTCAAGAAACAAATTTGAATGAATTGAACTAACAGTTAATTAAGAATTTAATGAGTGTATACAATTTATAAAATCAAAATGTGAAAATGCTTAAACTAATAAATATGTCTAAATTATTGAATTATATATTTTGCTCCTTCCTAACAGTTTAATGTAAAACTTTAATGTTATATTATTCACATGATCTAAAAGTTTAGAATGTAAGCGAAGGCTGAACTTATAGAAAATAGAAAGGTAAAACTATACCATACAGAGAGCCTTGAGTGATCAACCAAACAATCGAAAAATGTTAAGTTTTAAAGCAATTTATAATAAAAAGTAATAATAATAATAAAGGATGGAATAACATGATTAATTAACGAAAAAAAGTTAGGGTTGGGAATCAGGAGTTGGAGAAAATTTAGGAGTTAAGATTAGGAACTAGGATTAGGAGTATTAAGGTTAGGAATCGGGGTTTGGGTTTTATCACCGACTGATATCGACTATTATGAAAGGACAAGTAAAGTCAAAATATTACAGTAAGCTCAAAAGACAACTTAAATGACCTAACTGGTGACCGATAATGCTAAGGCTAGGATTTAGGTTTGGTATTATTGTTTGAGATTAAGATTTACGGTTAGGATGCAGATTATAGAATTTACTGTTATGGTTGAGATTTAGGATGAATATCAACTAAGCGCAAAATTTAGTACCATTCCTTAAATTTTAAACCGTAATCTTAAATTCTACATCGTAATCCTAGACCACGAATCCTAAGGAATAATCAGCCATATGACCTAAATACAGAAAAGAACGAAAAGCTTTATGGTTAGACCATAATCTAGTACCAAACTTAATATTAGATTTGCAAGAAAATTTTGCGTAATGCATGGCAAATACATTAAATATTACTTTTGTTTAGAAACAATGCTTCAAATGCATTTTAGCACTATGCAAAATATTATTAATCACAGGAGATGGAATTATGAATCTGCCCAGGCATAAGTTATTTCAGTAGAGAACATAGGGTTCGCAAAACAATAAAATAAATATACGACAATAAATCTGATTTTAGGGGACCCAATATGAGATCTGTGAAAATATCTATTAATTTTGCGTAATACCCTTCTGAATAACACAGGAAATCAAGCGAAAATAAAGAACTGGTAACTAAAATATCAACTCACTTGAAATGGTCTTGAATTGCTACATTAAGGTCAAACGAATCAGCACGTTCTGCGAAACCAATCCCTACAAATTTAGTTTCCCCATTTTCATTCATTAATCGAATAACAAAAAATCGACTTGAATCAATAACTGGTTCAACGGATATCCCAGGAAATGAGTCCACTGGGCATTCAGCATATAGCTGTCCAGAATTCTTATCTTCCAATCGTATTACGAGATCTTTACCTTTGGCGATAACACGAAGTCTTCCAGTCCACATAGGAGTTTCTAGGTTCCAGTTATTAGCCCTGTAACCCCGATTAGACTGTCTTGAAAGAATCTGATAGACGAACACTTCATTTTTCACAAGTAGCACGTTTTCATAATCCATAACATTCAACAGGACGATATTAAACAATGAATCAACAAACTACTTCACTGGGACACAAACTAAGAAAGAAACACAAAAATGAGCATGAGGGAAGAATAATAATTTCTGACTTCAATGTAAGAATATTTAAATAAGAATCAAATGACATTTTACTTGCCACGACAGTTGTCACTCCAAGATCAATTTCCACATAGGAAGAAAATTTGAGACGAGAGTTTGATTTTTAAAATCCCGACATATCTCACCGATGAGAGAGCTGATTGACTAAGAGGATGGTCGTATTCTGAGTTATTTCGGTCTTTGGAGTGGGGGTTGAGACATGACTGATAAGTGTGGAGGATATAAGCGTTATACATTATGTCATACTTATTAACAACTCGTACTGTTATAATAAGGTCTGTACCACCACCACACATAGTTGGAGATAATCAACAAAAATAACCACCGCTAATTATTATTATTATTAATGGCTTTATTCAATAATATATTTTGGTACAATATAGAATTCTCAGCACAAGGTATTTCAACAAGTTTCTTTTACAAAAAAACAAAAACAGACAAAAAAGGAAGGAAAAAAGGTTAGAAAAAAATCTGAAAAACTGTACAACTTTCAAAATTCGAGACATTTTAAGAATGCAGGTTATTGACTAGGTTAACTTTAACAATCTGTTCGTCACAGAGTATATTTGCTGGGTAAGGTATTATAGAACTTTTATACTTTTGCTTGCGTGCATGGATTTTAATGTAATTACGTCTTGTTCTATCAGAACATATACAAGGAGAAAGATATGAGTGAAGGGGATGGTTAGTATCTGATAAGATAACACCTGTCAGGAGTTTGCCTGATTTGAGATGTCTATCCACAACCATATTAAGTATGAACTCGAAAGATTCACCACACACCTTGTTAACTGCCTTCAGCACTCTCCGCAATACAGCAAAGTCTTTTATCAAAAGTCTGGGAAAAAATGATGGAGAACAGTAAGGAATAATAGGTAATATGCAAGAATTGACGAATTGTAAGATTAAATCACGAGTAACCCCAAGAGCATGCAGTCTCTTTATGTAGTAAGTCAGACGGGAAACTTTCTTCGATAACAATAAAGCGTGACAAGACCAAGAGAGATCAGAGGAAAAGGTGACAACAAGATAATTGATCTTCGACATTGCGTTTATCAAAGAGTCTCTAATGCCACAAGCATTATGGGATCCCAAAGTGGAGTTTAGATAACGTTTATGTTTCATGCTAAAGTTAAGTTCAACCAATCTGTTGTACAGAAAAATTCCCATACTATAAATTAAGACAATAGATGTTTACAATTAGTTATATCCATCGTAGAATGACACATGAGAATCACCAAAAGTTGTCAAACCACAGCTGGGCAGCGAGGTAAAATTATCAAGACGAGGAGAAAAGTCGAAATAATAGCAGTATCAATGACAGCAAGAGAGTCAGAGGATTGAGATGATGGTTCGAAATGAAGGAACATCGGAATTCAAGACCTAAAGGAAGATAAAGAATGAATACATCTGACACTACAACTGATTCTGACCATTGTTACTCAACATCTACAATCACTCATTGCGATTTTTAAGTGGAATCTATCAACGTGGTCTGTATCTATCAACACAGTTCAGTCCAACAGCCAATGATGTCATGGGCTAATTCCACATCTTCGTTTGGCCATCTCTAACTGCACTTCAAACTACTTCTAAACCATCTAACAAAGTGCGCCGGAGTAGATGACGGTTGGGTATATATGATACACATTTCAATCACCTCATTCCATAAATATTCACTACTTCATCATCCTGTGTTGTCATCTCCCCCTAGTATTTCTCGTCCAACCTCAGAATTTCTGAGATATCTGCAATAAAACATTTGTAGTCTACGCATGTCTCCTACTTCCAAAAACTATGTATCATAAACATCGAGTAAAACAAAGAAGATTGCTCAAAGCAAACTCCCTCTTTCTTGACAGATTGACATCAAAAGTGACACGAATTGGCGAAATTCAGTTGAGCTTTCCGAATCCATCCCGAAGTTTTTTCAGTCACTAACCAATTCACCTGGGCTGGTGAGACTTCTAACTTAACGGAAGAGACCGACGAGCTCGACTACCTTATCCCTGATCATCAGTCTAGGCATCAACGTAGACCAGTCCTGAAGCAACATTTTTCATCTAAAGAGGGAGAGAGGAATGCCTTCTAAACACGCTCCCATCGTTACTTGGGGAGATTGGAAGACTGAGTTTTGTCGACGTCTTCACCAAACAGAGTAATGTCGTTTGTCGACTCTGTATCGGCAAGTAAATTTCCTTGCAGGAGATCAATCCATGAGAAGACGAACGAAGAAAGGATCACTGATAGAAAAATAGCCGCGACAAAACTATATAAGAGTAAGGACAATGAACCACCCTAACGAACATCACTTAATGTTTCTAACTGTTAACTGTTTCCTCACAAACCCTGATTAAACAGATGGCTTTTGTGTAAATAATCTATGCAAAATATATGTATTCCTTCGGTGCATTGCTTAAAGACAACAATTGCCACACAAAGTTCAGGTGAAAATTGTCAACAATACTCAATCAAACAAACTGCCTTGTTCGAACTAAAACCAGTCGTTTTCACCAGTTTTCAGTTCAAGAGCTCCAGTTCAGCGTTGGATTAGTATAGCTAATATTTGAAAAACACTATTGGTCAAAATGATTTCTCTGTGGGTAGCACAAGAGGATTTCAAATCTTTCTCCTAAACTGAGATGATCAGCATTTGAGAACAACCATAAAGTTGGACAGGAATGTTCTCTGAGATTGTCAATTGAAGGGTGTGCCTGAGTTTAATAACATCTTAAAAACCCTACATACAAACACCTCAGACAGAGTGAGAGCATATAACTACCTCTCTTCATTGTTCCATTCAAGTAGTGGGATTAGACAGGGTTGCGCAATCTCACCATTCCTCTTCAACTCTGCCATCGATGACGTTCTGGAAACAGCTTTGATGGATGTAGGTGATGGTGGTGTAGATCTGTAGCCTGAAGAAATACTTTCCGACCTTGAGTGTGCAAATGATATTGTCGTACTGTATGATGATACCGAAACCGTGCAATCTGCTACTAACTGGTGGTATGTCGGTAGACGAAGTTGCGAACGATGATCGATTGAAACAGGGAAAATATGTGTAGATCCAGTCTAATCACCCCTTAATCCATACCATGCTGGCTACGATGATATATGATATCATAAGGGTTGAAGTATCATCAGAGCACAGTAGTCAATTGCTGATAAGAGTTATCTAAGGTTTAGACTTTATAGATGTAGCTCATACGACAACCGTAACATGACTAAAATTCCTGTGATGGCTCTATTTCAATCACATTGGTCAGCATTTATCCTTCCCCCAGCTGATGAACTGTCATTTATTATTAACACATAAACATTGGTATAAGGAGTTACTAAATATATATGCGCCACAGTTTATCATCCGATTTGTGTGAGGACTGGGATATTGCTCGGAGGCCCATTTTAAACTCCAAATTCCGTATATAACTCAAGAACCATCTTCAGAAAAGTCTACATACCGAAGTTTAGTGACGATTTAGGTCAAGTGCAACTGATTAGGGAGTTTTTCACTTTTCCTGAGGTAAGAATTGTTGCCCTCTAAATTTTCGTTTCGTGACATTTTTGTCCAGGAATACAAAAAAATGTGGGGAACTAGATATAAAATCACTAGCTAATTTGGAAACAGTGGTGAGATCACTAATAATACTTCTGTATCGTAAAAGGAATATGTTTTTAGGTCTATATCTTGTCATACACCAGCTTCGAGATTATAGTTAACTTAGTCACAGTTCTCTAAATCATTTCCAAAACACCACTATCTTTTCTTACACAGTAACAAATCAATTGTGTGTAATACTCAAGCTTCAATCGTTAAAAAATGGCACACAAAGCAAGGCATGTGATATCTATGGTGCTGAAGTTTCTGGTACTAACTGTTCTATGACTCAAAAGTTATTGCGAAAGTACGCAATGGACATGAATTTTTTTATCGAAGAAGACTCCCTAATAATCGTTTGAATGCTTTGGTGGCCAATATGCAGCATGATGAACTTACATTCACTAGTTAGCAAATACAAAATTCAAGGTCTAACTGCCTTACGAAAATATACACCGATTGCAGTTTCTGCAGACATTTCTGGCATTCTAAACTAGTTTTTCCACTTCGTCTAACTTTCTACATCATAATTTCGTCAGCGTATAACAAGATTAATGGTAATATGGGAGTAAAAAGGTAGTTTGCATGCGGAATCAAAAACACTACTGAAGACTGAAAGCTGTGCATTGAAGTGCCCCACTAAGCACTATCCCACAAAATGAAATATTAGCTTTACATCTATAGCCACAAATAAGCTCATATAAATGAAATTTTATATGGAAACATGGTATTCAACCACTGCTTACACTAAACGGATAACGCGATAAACTAAAGTAGTTGCGAAGAACTTCAATGTACAATTATTATTTACTTAAACCCTAAACTACGTATACTGATGGGCAGAAACACTTAAATGTTAGTTCTTTGGTATTTATGCCGTTCTTTGAGCAGAGGACTTTTCTTTGCGGACTAGGCCTGTAGCTCTTCTAGGTTAGTGCCGGTCTCAAGCATGGATAAAAGGGGAGGAGTCAGCAGTCCCATCCCATAGAAAATAACCTTCTTAAAAAACGCCAACCAGTATAAACAAATTAAACCATTTAAGCTCTGCCCTGGGAGTTGATGGAAGAATTATGACGCTTCATGTTGTAAGCCGAGATCGGATACCTAGTTGATGGTAATGGTTTGAGATCAGATATGAAACGACTAGCTCCACTGACAAATGCACCGTCTCCAAAAAATCTTACTGAACTACGTTCACTAGTGAGTGCTCTTCAATACTATTCCCGTTTTATTCATAATTTTGCTTGTCGTGCAAATTGTTTATTTAATATTTTGACATTCAATTCATTCAAATGAAGTGAAGAACAAGAGTCACGCTTACGAAGTCTACTAAAGTTCCTTCAAAATGATGTTGGTATTCGAACTTACTCCCCGAGCGTACATTCTGTACTCATTACTGATGCATCATCTGTGGGTATTGGCGCAGTTTTGGAGCAGGAAGGTAGACCAGTTATCTGTGTTTCACGCAAACGTACTGTTACTGAATAAGATTACTCACAGACTCAGTGAGAAGCATTATCTGTGTTTTGGGCTGTTAAACGACTTCATAAATGTGTATTCGGAAAGAAATTCACTATTGTTATTGATCATTAAGCTTTAAAGTTTATTTATCATCCTGAAAAATATTTAGCACATTCCTCAGCTGTTATGGTTCAACAATGGAGTATTGCTTTGAGTGCATATGACTATACGGTTCAGAAGAGAAGTGCCAAATAAAATTCAACACGTTGACTACGTTTCTCGGCAATCATTACAAGATAGACCGGTTAATACTTCAGACTGTTTGTTAGTGCAACCTTTACCAGTGAGATGTGCAGATCTTATTAAAGAGACTCGTAGATACTTTGGATGTGTACTGAATGCTATACGGAAAGGTTGAGATGGTAATCTGAAACGTAGATTTGAAAGCGGGATGAGCTATTTTGTGTTTAAACGATCGTGTTGTTATTCCTCCTTCATTGCGTAAATCCTTTCTTGAAGATCTTCATAGTGGACCTTTAGGTGCTGAAAAAATGAAGTCCTTGGCAAGGCTCATATGTTGGTGGCCAGAGATAAATGCAGATATATGTCGTAAAGCAAACAATTGTGGAAAGTGTCATAAGTTGAAAAATCACCCTTCGAAGTGGACTCCATGGCCAGTATCGTCTGATGCCTGGCATAGAATTCATGCTGACTATTGTGGTCCATTTCTTAGCAAATACTATGCACTTGTAGTCATTGATTCTTTTTCAAAGTGGCCTGAAATTTTTTCACAACTTAACCAAATTCTGACTTCACAATTCAAGCATTAAGAAAGGTGTTTAGTCGAGAAGGGGATCCCATGGTGTTAATGACTGATAATGGCTCTCATTTTACTGCAGATGCAGTCACTACCTGGTTGAACGGTATAGGGTGCAAACATCTATTTACTGCTCCCAGACATCAGTGTTCTAATGGTCAGGCAGAGAATTTTGTTAGGACATTAAAGACTGCTATTGATTTTATTGCCGCCTCAACATTTAACGAGAGGGGAGTAGATACCTTTCTACTGCAATATAGAAATACAGACATTCTGTGACGAAAGCGACTCGATCAAAGCTATTAAAAGGAATAATTTTTCGGTCGAATATGAGATGTTTGGAGTCTATCTATCTATCTAATCTAATGTAATCTGTGAATCGCGTTCCACTGTTACACTGGCGTACAAATGTTTGTGAAAAGCCGACTAATTAACACTGTGAACGGTTTGGATTCATTTCAATACAATGCGGATTAGACCAGTCCAATGCAGTCCTGCGTTTATTTCACCAGCTATTTTGGTGATCAATTACTGTATTATTCCAGTTCAGTTGTGTTTATTCTATTCTATCACACTATGATCGTTTGTTACTACGATAAAGGCTAGTAAACTCAACGACTTAAACATACTTTCAAACAGAGTTGTATACCAGTCCTTAATTAATTTGTCGAGTATGAAGGTAGCGTAAGTGATAGATGGTCTCTGTTGCTGGGACCACTGAAAGTGAACATCAAGACTCACTTGTCAAATACCAGTATATTTTCAATAAGTACTTATCAGCCATATATTTTTCATCTGGTTGCAACGTTTCAAGTCTAGAAGTAGTTGTGCAAACTTTGGGACATATTCTTAGAATAGTGTAAATTTTGAAGCATACCTTTGAACCCTAGTGAGTTTTGGGTCAAAAACCAAACATATGTAAAGTGACATACATTTTATACATCATCTAGACTTTATAGTCATTTGGCGAAACAAAGTCCAAATGGACTTGTTAGTTCATTTCATTTCATATTAATTCTCCTTAAGACTTAT